TGTCGGCCCAACATACTGTTGAGCCTACTCAGGTAAAAACGTGCGTGACGGGTTACTCTTTTGACGTGGGGCCTGAAAGTGAGCCTTGTGTCTAGAGTGACACCTAAATATTTGACAGACGTATGCCAGGGGACAGGGGTCCCTAGCATACGTATTGGTGTGGTGTTTTTGAGACGGCGTCGTTTATAATCGAAGTGAACGGCGGAGCTCTTCTCCGGGTTCACATCGATGCGCCATTTTTTGAACCAAGCTCCTAGGTCGTCAACTGACTTTTGAACCTTGTTCCGTATGAAAGGTAGCGAGATACCTTTAAAGTAGAGAGCAGTGTCGTCTGCGAAGAGGGAGAGCTGAACACCTTTCGACGGGATGGGAATGTCGTCGTCATATAATCTACATTAACTCTGATAATCAAGCGGTACTGCTAGCGCTGATATCAAACTAAACTTAGTGAAGCTAGTTGGGGACTGCGTGAACAGTCTAAACGCCTTGGGATGTAACAACAGATGAGACAAGATGGGTTCCGTGCCACGCAGGTATTGTAGGCAATGAACTTGCCGATAAGCTCGCACGGGAGGGCATAAAGAGCACACAATTTGGAACCGAACCAATTTTGTGGAATATCAAAAAACCTAGCTCGATTGACCCTTGATAGTCTTCATCACAATAAATCACTTAAAGTCTGCTCTGATACACCAGAGTTAAAATATTTTAAAACCTTATTCCGGGCTTTTGATCGTAAATTTGCTTCAGAAGCCCTGGAATTAGGTTAAAATAAAATATAATATAAATTTAAGCTTACCACGAGTGGTTAAGGGGAATATTAGTAATGTTTATAGCATTGTTAATATTCTTTAAAAAAAATTAAAAAAATAAACTGTGCTTTCTGACAAGAGCTCTGATTGTGAACTGTTGTCTTAAAAAGCACATGGCCATCCTGGGACTAAGCAACTCAAGGATGTGCCGGTTTTGTTCCTTAACGGAAGAAACGCCTCTGCACATCCTGACTGATTGTGGACCCTTAATGCGCAAACGTAATACACCTAAGAAAATATCTACTTCGCCCAGAAGAAGTGAAATTGCTCGCAGCTAAGCAACTCCTATTCATTGAAGACATAGGACTTAGCAGTGAACTATAGCCATAGTAGCGAATACTATAGATCTTTTGGGTCGCAGTTACTAGTCTTTCTAGACCTTCATTGCCGCTCGCACAAAGAAGCTATGCAGTCTGAATCAACGGATTTACCACAGGTGTCGTATTGTTCGGAAATTTTGTCACAATTTTGAGACAGTACCGAGCCTTTTCATCTGCTCTCATAACAGATAGATCCAATGTTTAAGCCAGACCGTTCGCGAAGAAAGATAATATTACTTGTCTAGGAAGTCGTAGGTTTGTTTAAAATGAACTTTTTACTTTGTGATTGATACAATTAAAAGTTGGTTACTTGAGTTAAACTATCAAAATTCTATGATACGTGTTCATTTTTATACAAAATGAAAATACAGGAATTATTTTCATTTTGTATAATTGTATAAGGTCGAAAAGCCTGTGTTGATTTGCAAATCAGTAGAATAGAAAGGCATAATGTGATCTATCTAGTTGTAAATTGGCTCAGGAACTTATAAGATTGAACCCATTATTTAAAGCTCTTCAATCAGCAGAGCCACAAAACGTTCTCAGACTAATTAAAAATAATGGTTGGCAGAATATTTTTTCCATATGTGTAGACAACATTTCCTATCTTGCTGATATATATATATATATATATATATATATATATATATATATATATATATATATATATATATATATATGATATATATGATATAACTGTACTATAACTGTCGCTAAACGGAAACGAAGTTTTAGTACATTAAAGCGTTTAAAAATTTACTTTCTTTTATACTGTGTCAGGAAAGATTGTCATATCTTGGAATCTTTCCCATCGAAAATTCTATTGCCCAGAAGTTCAATTATTCCGAATTAAAAAAATTGCAAGCGCAAGCCAGAAAGCTGGCCATTTAGGCTTTTCATTAAGTTTGTTGTTGGTTGTTCTTTTATATTTTTTAACACTGTCTGCAGAACAACAGTTTTAATAAAAGCTTTCAAACAAGATTATTAACTGTTATTATGAGATATAATATGTACAACTAGTCACCGCAGCAAGGCAAGCATAGTGGTGCGAGCGAAATAGACCACATTTCTTTAACGCAAATAAGCAGAACAACTGCTATGGCAAGATCGACAGACACAACTGTGCTTACCCCGCATATACACCTGTAGATATTTGGTCTAATACTATTTAAAATTACGTAATAGCAACTGCATAATATAGGAATACTAAGGTTTTGTATTTAGAGGGGCGCCACTATGAGTTCTCGTACCACCTAAAAATTTTGTTAGGCCCGCCACTGCCTCTTGTATTCACATTTATTTATTTTTCTTCACATCCGGTATTGTGTCCATTCCGTTATATTTTTTTCGATTTTATATTATTGTCTTCGTTATTTAATTTACTGATATTTATATTTTACTTCCAACCTTTTTAACTAGACCCGGCGGTGCACGTGTATTGTAGCAGCGCATCGCCTGACAGGGTCACCATGTAAATCCATTGTAAGGTGTTAATGAAAAAGGAGACGTGTTACTCGTGTTATGACTTTATTTATACTACTTTATTGTAAACTAAACACCTATGCTTAACACTAATATAAATTGGCGTGGAGACTACTATAGATCTGTCAAATGCTTAGACAATTTCTAAGGTCAATAGTCATCTATTAAATACCCTACTTTAATTAAATTAAAATACTGTGTCGGGAACTTGACTGTTAGGTCTTGTATGATCATTTAAATATTAGTTTGTAGTGAATTTAATGTCTGCGCTGTAGACTCATAATTATACCGATGTCTAAAATGTTGTCAAAATGCTTCTTTTTTGCACAGTTGCAACAACAGAATCCTTAACTTTGCTCTTTGCAACTGTGGTTGCAAAGCGACGAAGTTCTTTTAATTGAATTTAGACCGTATTTTAAACGCACAGAGTCTAACTATTACGTATTAAAACCAAAAAAAATATATAAATCATAGATTTGGATCAAAATTACCAACCTCTTGGACGAAAAATATCGAAAATTTGTTATGAAAAAAAATGAAAAAAAAATTATATATTTTATAGTTTAGTAAGTGAAGTGACGCTTGAGCAGGTTTAACGAGGTGATAAAATATTCCGTAAGTATTGAATTTTTGCTAGTATTTATATACCAAATTAAGGCCCGGTTATTAGTAAATTACTGATATTCAAAACAATTTCATGAACTCTAATAAAGTTTCCAAGACCCAAAAAAAATACATAACAAATTTAAGGATATGAGGTTCACAAATCTGCGGTTGAAAACATTATATTTCAAAATTTTGACGATAGAAAATTTATCTAAACTTTGGTCTTTTGAGTTTTATTATTTCGTTTCATTTCTGAAATACCACGTAAATTACTATAAAAATTAAACTACAATATCCAAACATGTTTTTAACAAACAATTCTGCGGTTCGTTTTTTTGAAATTGCTATTTACTTTTTATAAATCTAAATAATATATAATAATATAATAGAATGCAAGCTCTGCTCACGCTAGTCGCCCGCCGGGCCTTGCCGAAGCAGGTTCTGTGTCTAATTTTCGCGCGCACCGCCGTTCCGATCTCGAAAATATTGCTCGCGAGTAAACTTAAGATTGAAGTTTTATATTTCAGCATATAAGTGCAGTTCATAATTGCAGAAATAATATAAGAATTGCAGAAATATGGGAAATAAAACAGCATATAAAAAATTATCAAAATTAAAAATACGAAGATTGAAAAAAACATTAATGTGAGTATGAATGAATACTATAAAATATATTTATTTTCACTTTTTAATAAAAACAAATAAATTGATAAATGCAACTTCACGTAAAAACAATAAAAACAATTGTTTTATTTTTACTTTATATGTCACAGTATAAGTATACAACAGTAAGACCACTGAATGTAGCAATTGTGACCTTTTTTTGTTTTCAGTGCAAAAGCACCACGGACCAAGGGCATGTTTAGATCACAAGAAAAACTCAATGAAAAGTAAGTATGTTAGCGACATATTATACATTAGGTATGTGAAATAATTGATCTTCGCCACATCCTTCACATGTATTTTATAAAAACCGGTAAAAAGTACCTAAGTTAATCCTGGTCATATACTATCTGTGAACTAAATTTCATCCAATTCGGTGCAGTGGTTTTGAAGGATATTAAGTAACAAACAAACATCCAAACTTTCCGATTTATAATATTGGCGTGATTAGTGACAGTGGCGCGGACAATGGAAATTCATTGTTCGCACCTCTGTCAGCCCGCTTTATAGTTTAATAGGCTTTATAGGCCTTATAGTTTCTGATATTACTTGCTGACACGTGCTGTTTTAATAATTGGACAATGTATTTTTCAGACAACAGAGTAATTTGCCCAGCAGTAGCACAACTACACTGAATTCTAATGTACAGAATATAACGAATTATGTGTAAGTAGCTATTTAAAAATAAAGCCCATATCGAATTAAAAAAAAAATCGTTCTGCCATACAAATTGTCCAGTCAAGTAAAATATTTTGTTTGGGAGATCGATTCTTTTTTTTCAGATTTCGATATGGGTTTCTTTAGGAAAGTTGTTCAGTTTCACGGGTAGATGAACCCAAGGGGGTTCATCTACAATTTGAATTTATTTATTTTTTCCCTGAATTTTTTTTTCAGACCAACTGAAGACAATGACGATTCATACGTAATTGAGCCTGAAAAAAGCAATGAAGAGTTTCAGCATGTTCTAGGACGGCGGATCATTGATATTAATTACCTCTTGGAAGAGTTACAAAAAAAAGCTTGTCATAATGAATTGTTCCACTGTAACATGAGTAATTTTCGTCTAATGGGTGAAAAAAGAGAAGGACTTATATCCTTTTTCAAATTTGAATGCAATATGTGCGAAAATATCTATACAATTAAATCTGAAAACACACATGATACTGAAAAAATTAATTTAAACATTGCCGCGACCACTGGCATCGTTGCTTCTGGTATTGGTTATTCACAATTTGAAGAGCTATGTTCAGCAATAGACGTTCCAGTATTTACTCCGAATACTTACACCAAATATCAAGATCAGGTTCTTAAAAAATGGGAACAAACTGCGAGTTCTTCTATGGCAGCTGCTGCAGAAAAAGAAAAAGAAATGGCTATAGAAGAAGGCCAAACCAAGGGTGGTTTTCCCGTAATTGATGTTCTCGTTGATGGCTCCTGGTGCGCTCGATCCTATGGTTCTAATTATAAAGCATTATCTGGTACTGCAGCTATTATCGGCAGAAAAACTGGTCAAGTTCTTTACATTGGGTTGAAAAATAAATACTGTCTTGTGTGTGCCCGAGCTGAAAATAACAATATTTCACCTAAGGAGCATAAATGCTTCAAAAATTACGAAGGATCGTCAACGTCTATGGAAAATGAGATTATAGTCGAAGGATTTAAGTCTTCTATATCTTCATACGGCCTCATATATGGTAGAATGATTGGTGATGGTGACGCCTCTACTTACGCGAAAATCCTACAGGCCAGACCATATGCAGAACAAAACGTCACTGTCGAAAAAATTGAGTGCCGTAACCATATATTGCGAAACTTTTGTAAAAGAATGCGTAATTTAATAACAGAAACAAAATACGCTTTGGCTCAACGAAAAACATTGACTAATGTAAAAATTTTAGCAATGCGGAAAGCAATTGTGAAAGCCATAAAACATCACAAAGTGTCGCAGAGTCCTCGAGATGTTGTAATATCGATGTTACACAAATATATCATCAACTCTGTGTCACATGTGTATGGTGACCATAGATTTTGCCAGGATTATTACTGTACAAAAGAAAAAAATGATAATGAAGAACTTAAAAAAATTCAAAATTCAACCTTTATTTTTAGGATAAATGCCATTGTTTCCAGTATTGCAGCAAAATCACGAAGTTTAATTGAAGACGTGGATACCAACAATGTCGAATGCTTTAATAGTGTAATTGCAAAATTTATTGGAGGAAAACGAATCAATTTTGCTTTGAAAGGAGGTTATCAAGGTAGGTGTTCAGCGGCAGTAGTGTCATTCAACACCAAATCGGCAATATCCACAGTTCAATCGGCTTTTACTGGCAAATGTCCCGGAGGAAATGCTGTGATTGTAGAAAGAAAAAGGTCTCAAAAACGGAAGATAAACTTTGAACATCCAAAAAAGAAAAGAAGAATATTAAAGGAAATTAACAAAAAGCAACATGATTATGGTCCAGCAAGTGCAGCACCTGATATGTCTCCTCAACAGTTAGAAAAAGCTAAAGAAGAATTTATGAAAAATTTGAAGGATGTTACATGTGATAGGAATGCTATTGAAAGGGCTACCGTATTGCAAAGGGACAGCAGTGAATGGCTTGAGTTAAGAAAAAATCTTGTTACAGCTTCAAATTTCGGCCCTATATGTAAAAGAAAGGCTAATTTTGGCACTGCTTCACTTATTAAAAATATATTATATCCAAAGAATTTGTTAAATGTTGCCTCCATTTGCCACGGAATCGAACATGAAAGTCAAGCTCTACAACAAGTGGAAAAGCAAGAAAATGTGAAAATTACGCATTGTGGACTATTTATCGATCAAACTCATCCATTTATCGGTGCAACTCCGGACGGACTGGTGGGAGATGATATGCTAGTCGAGATAAAGTGTCCCATTACAGCTTCTAAAAAAGGTCTTGAAAATTCAATTAAGGAAAACAAAATTCAAATTCTCAAATGCGACAAAAAAACAGGCACGGTGACCGTAAACAAGAAAAGTAACAGGTACTACCAAATTCAGGGCCAGCTGCATGTTACGGGTAGGAAAGTTTGTTTATTAGGAATTTGGTCAGGTGACAATGAAACAATTTTCACAAAATATATTGAAAGAGATGATGAATTTTGGAAAACTATGGAGCCAAAGTTAGTACTTTTTTATAAAAATTGCTTACTCACAGAAATTGTTGACAGCAGATATGCGCGTGGGATGGCGATCCGAGATCTAAAACTGGAATGTGACTCCATGTCTGTAATTGATGTAACAGACAAAGAAAATAACAGACCTGATTTATTCAGGACTGACCATCGAACGTCTAACGAACCTGACAAAAATTTTAAAAGAATTCACCAACTCAGTATGGAAGAGTTTTAGAAATTGTTTCATAGTTGATCGATTGGTTAAGATGTAGTTTTAGATCACTATTGTAATTATTTAACTTTGAATACTTACGCATTTGTAAAACTTAACATAAAATTGTTAAAAAGAAATTTAATTTAATATTTTATACAAAGTTTTTTTTAAATAATCGAAATCAGTAAAAAAAAACTAAATACGTATAAATTTAATACATCATACAAAACATTAACTAAAGACGTAATTTGTAACTACTCACTGCAAACTAAAAACAGTTCAAATCATAAGAAGTGGTCCTACTGCGAACTATTTTGTACTGTGGTCTGTAGTAGCGCGGTGCCGGGATCAAGTGAGTTCATTTTTTTTGGGGTGTTTGCGTTGTTTATTACGCGCGCGCTGGAGATGCGCTAAATACCTAAAGTGTCAGTATAAGAGTGCCTTAATGTCTTATGAGTGTTTTCTTGTATTATAGTAATATTTTTGCAAATACTGTATGAAAAATGTGATAAAGTCGACTTTTAAAAATACTCAGAATGACACGAATCTAAACGTAATTTTCTATAGCTTACATTATCGTAATTATGTTGTATTCTTTAAATACGTAATAGTCGTAGTGGTATTTGAATATAATTATTCAATTTAAATAATAAAGTTTTATAAATTGTTCATCATATTATAATATATTGTGGAAATAAAACCGCCCGGTGAGTTTTTACCTTGTCGAATTATTTTTGTTACTCTGGTTGCAAGAAGCAATTCAAGTGTTTTGGCTTAGGGTTGACGCTTGGTGGATTTTTGGGCATGAAATTTATTTTGCGTTTTTTGCAACAAATATTGTGGTGTAAGTGTGGTGTTATGTGTGTTTTTTTAACAATAACATCTTAACTTTTTCGTAACCAAAATTTTTCGAACAGCAGCGGCACAGTGATAGGTGGAAAAATTTCTAAAAACTTTCATTTAGCTATATTTAGCCAGATTTATTTTATTTTGTATTAATTGTAAATATAACATAATTTATAAGTTTCCTAATGTTTTGAAAACATTAGGACTTTGCCCGTTTATTGTATTGGTGTAATTGATTGCGTCGTGAAATGTATTTCCAGGTTTAACAATGTAATTAGGCATTGCGAAATGGCTGAAAATACGTCATATACTTTTAAATTCTAAATTACGACATGAATTTATAGATAATCATTTATTTGTTTTTAATTATGTAAAAGTAAATGAAATTTCCTTTATGAAGGTGTATATATTTTTGGTCTACATAATCCAGTTTTTATGTAATAACAGCCTAGATTGTAACAAACAAATGCGATCAATTGTGCAATCCGTGCGCAATTCTACAGGTTTCACTTAATATTTTTACTATGTTTTTAAATATAAATCGTTTTATAATATGGATAAATATATCAGGTAATTCATTAATTTTAGGGATATAATGAATAATCATACACTTATCGATCTTATTTTTTTACTAAACCCAATGTTTTACAAAGAGTCGCTAAAATGGCTTGTACTTGTGATTTCAACACCTCTAAAATATTATTGTAATCATATTTTGATAAAATAACATAAGCAATTTCTTTCTTATTTTAATGGCTATGCATAACATTTTAAATATTTGAAGTGCTCCTCTCGAGTAAGTCATAAATTAACATACGTAAATTACTCGAGTAGTTTTATTGACGGCGGGTCGAACGCGCGAAACCCTGTCCCGACCTACTGGCAAAGTAAGCTACCAATTTTTTTTACGCAAGCAATCGAGCGGTTAAGATACTATGATTTGCCACTCTCCGCTGGATTAATCTGTCGCGTAAATAAAATACGACTGAACATCAACGACTGAACATTAAATATTTTGGCTAAAAAACTCTGTATCCAAGGTCGGATATCAAAAAACATTCATAATGTCATGTCAAAATATCAAGTCAATTTCTAGCTGTCTATGAAAAATATAGAGACGCCTGTTCTCGATTACATTATAAATGTCAAAAGTTTAATAACGTAAACTTAACCAATTTGTACCTTATATGCTATTGGCTTATTAGATCGAATGAATTTTGAACAAACCAATACATAACACTGTTAATTCAAATTTTGATGAAGTTTTGAAATTGGAAACAGATCTCACGGTTTGTGTTCTCAGCGTTTTACATGTGTGGCAAATTAAATTTTCTTTCGTTTTTCTCAGTTTTTCTGTTGTTAAAATATATTATATCCAGGTGCAGGTGCAACCTGTCAACGTTATATTATAAGTGACTTTTGTGAAATAAATTGTTACATAGGTGATAGGAGTTTTCGTTGGAATCGAAAAAGTCTAAATCGAGGTAAATTTGTCACTAATTTCTTATTTACACCTATAAAGCTTATATTTTATCATTGAAACGAATTAGGCATGCAGTAAAATATTCAGAAGTTGGTTTAATGGTGTTAATCAGATTTTTGATCAAATAAGTACTGATTAAACTTGGACACACAAAATCCAGTTATAAATTTTTGTTTGATAAATTATTATTATGATTAAATTATTATAATTAATGTAAAACTTAATTTATTTAGAAATGTGTTACATTGTGTGTATTTTATAAACATAATTTAAATACAACTCGTAAAGAATTACGATTCACGAATCGTTAAAACTTGTCTATTTTGAAGTTGTGCAGGTTATTCACGACAATTCTCAATATGTTTTACCATCATTGCAAAGAGAAATGCGGACGGACGGTTGTATCTTATCCCTCTATTTAAAAACGCGTTTTATAGCCGTTTTTGAGTCATAATTTTTATACTACAGTGGACCCCCGTATACAAAAATTTTGCATGGCAGTGTCGGAGTATCGAATTTTTCGGATTATATAGAGTACTGCATAAGACCCCAATAGTCCGGATTTTTTTTACAAAAGAGTACCTTGTAATCCAACAAATTGCATATCCAATGACAAGATTCTATATGTTATATATGTACTCTGAAGTGCAAATCATACTTCATTATGTATATCAAATTTAGTAAATTAAATATCACAGTAGATTAATCTCTCAATCCCTAAGCTCCCAAGTGGTTGGATTCGACCAGACACTACTTTTCTATGAAGAAGTTTGAAATTTTCTATCATCTAGTGCAATAAAAAGTCAGTTAGTCTATGGATATTTATTTATAATCTATGTTCATTACATACACTATTTTCATTTGGGTGTTGTGTTGATTTTTGGAATTTTCTAGTGTTTTATTGGTGTTTTACTATAGTGTTTTATTATAAAATTGTTATAAAAGTTTTTGTGTGAATGTAATTTATCTTTTTCAGTAAATAATATTGAGTAATATATAGAAATATAATAGTGATTTTCATGTTACCAATATCCACTTGGTATTAACCTGTTTTTTGTTATCAAAATACAATAGTCTTTTTGTAATGGAATAAAACCTGACTTTTTAGACCACGGGATAGAGAATTTTTGATAGATTTTATAATGCCAAACTTCTTCATAGAAAAGTAGTCTCTAAATATGTATAAGTTTTAATGGTTTAAAGTGCTTTTGGTGGGTGCGGTTTCATGCGACTGCATGGGATTTTTATGGGGATTTAAGGGTTAACTTCATTAAAGCTATAGAACTTACAAAAAATATGCATTAACTTTACATTAGGAAATAATTGTGTACAAACAAATATACATACTAAAATAACCAAAAATTATGAATCAATCAATTTGAGAAGCATCAATTTAAGAGAAGTATCAAGAAGCAATAACGCTTTTTGAGGAGAAATATGATCTTTCAACCATTTTCAGAATCAAATTTTTCAATCAGAATCAAAACAATCCCCTCTGTGTCGAGCACAATAGTGGTGAGGCGTACAAGTTATAACTTGTTTAATCATGCATTAGCGAAGTATTGTCAAAAAATATTCAATAATAAATAATAGATCATGTCGGATTACAGGGGGTGCCGGATTAGACAGGGGCCGGAATTCCGGGGGTCCACTATATTGGCATTTTTTTTTTCTAGTATAAAATATATGATAGAGGTCTTTTAATCGTGTTTTCAATCAAAAAGTGATTATTACAGTGTGTGTGTGATGAAAAAGTGCTGTTGTTGTTTATTTTCAGCAGAAAATTCAATACACCAGTGACGTAAGAAGACATTTTACACACAATGTCCATTGGAATTGAACCTCCAGTGAAAAAAGCAAAAACATTTCTTAATGAAGATGATTATTGTAACAAAATAATAGATAAATGTATTGAAGACATTAAAAATTCTCAAAAAAACTTAGAACCTGTGTTAAGTGATGATTTTCAGATGTCAATGCCATTAATAAAAGTGTATGTTGGTATTATTAAGGATCCAAAAGATTTATCACGAACTGTTCTGATGTTAAATGAAAAGATACCTTTGAAAGAGTTGCAACATTTAAAACGAGTTAGGAAAAAAGAGGTTATATTGTGTCCTACGAACTTTATCATTGGCATGTCATCTATTCAACAGTACATTGAATGTAATGTGGAAGAACTAAAGGACACATTTCAATATTTTAAAGAGTTAGATGTTCCGCTTTTACCCCCTAAAGTAAAACAACAGTTTAAAGAATGGAATAAAATTTGGTCCTGCAACTTTCATCCTAATGTTTACCTGGAAAAACTTGTAAGTGGTAACTTCTTTACTGCCACAGAGCTTAACTTCCATAGAACTTACATTGAAATAGCATTTGAAGTATCAAGATGGTATATTCTTCATTTAAACCTAAACACTAATGAAGATGATGTTTTTAAAAGCATTAATAGTGCTGTAATTGTTGATCCAACTATACAATCAGTGGTTGCCGTATCTTTTGATAATAGGGATGCTAACCCTCTTCAACATTCTTCGATGTTAGCTATAGACAATGTAGCAAAAACACAGAATGGTGGAGTTTGGTCTACTGAAAATGTTAATCGCGATAGGACATTAAGTGGTATAAGTGAAGAATTGCTAACCTACTTAAAACTTAGATATCCTAGTATCAAATTTGGTGCAAGAAAATTTATAAATAAATGCGATATGTCTAGTGATGAATATAATGGAAATCCAAGCGATGGTCCTTACTTATGTACTGGATATTTTGCTTATCTAATAAGAGAGCCTTGTGTTATGTGTTCAATGGCATTAGTACATGCACGAGTAAAAAGAATATTCTTTTGTTTCGATAATAACTTTGACGGTGCGCTGAAATCAAAAACTAAACTACATACAATTTCATCTTTAAATCATCATTTTGAAGTTTTTACAGGATTTTTATAATTTAACAACTTTTTGGATATTCAGCTTTAATTATTTTTATTCATAATTTACTCATTAAATGGTTGAATAGTGTAAATAGAATCAAATGAATGACAATCATAAATCAATGTAATTATAATTTTGTAGTTAAATATTACTGCAAATCTACATTTTATTTTAACTGATGAGATTCATATATATGTATTCAATTCAATTCAGTTCATTTGCTATTCTTGTTGTATACATCTGTGCCCAGTTTATCAAAACTCACAAGTCTACTTGTTCACAAGTTACACTTTACAAGAAAGTTTTTAAAAGTTCGTGTAAATTACGTTTATCAAAAAAATCTACAGGGCTTGTAAAATTTAACACTTGTAGGTTCTACTTGTAAGTTCTAAAATCAAAAAATATATGCCGCATTCTTTTCCCGACATTTTTTTTGCTTCCGGACCTATTAGCATAGGAATAGTAAAACTTTTCTCAGGACCGCACACAACCAAACAATTAATGGAATGATTTCAGTATCGATGTACAAATACTTCTTCATGTTGATGTGGGGCATCAATTTTTATCTAGGTACCATTTAGACAGCCACAAATTAATGGCATTCCTTTCAACATATGAAGCTTCTGTACTACCTGCTGCATAATATTCGGCCATTTAACGTAGTTTTCAAACATTATGGTATTGATGGCTGCTATAACACTGGACTGCATTGCATACACTGCTTTTTGTTACTCCATGCACGTCAGAAACAGCATGGTGTTGAGCTCCGGTTTACAACCAATGTAGAGGTATTTATAATATTAATTTAGTTGAGAGGGCGTAGTTTCTGTTTGTATTTCTTTCTAAATGGCTACCCAAAATGTTAATTAACTGTTCCAATTTTTCAGCTTTAAGTCGAAACCTTTCATTCATAAGTCGTCTCCATATGACCGTGGTCAATTAGTGTTCTATATGTTTCTTGGTTCTATTATTATAATATTTTCATCATCGCTTGAGCACTTGACCACATTTTAAAAAGACAATCAAATTAAAAAAATATTACAGTACTACTTATGACACTTGTAAGACGGAATGGAGAGTCGCCGGACACTCTTTGGATTTGCTATGCTTTTCTACAAATTGTAACTTACAAAGGAATTTTTGATGAACAAAATCACCAATACAAGTGTAAAAATATGCTTATGAAATAAATAATGACTCTTGTAACTTGTGATTTAAATGTGTAGTTTTGATAAAAACCTATTTGTAATAATGAAATTTATCACAGGAAAATTGCTTGTAATACAAGGCTTGTAAATTTTGATAAACAGGGCACTGGTCTTAATTATAAAAAATAGTTCAAAACAAAAACCCTGCAAGGACACTGTAAATATTAGCAATCATTAATATTATTATTAGGGATGGGCCGAATATGGATTTCACCGAATACGAATATTCAGCCGAATGTTCGGTAAAATTTTTACCGAACCGAATATTCGGCCGAAAATTATTCGGTAGGATAATCTCAAGACCTAACCAATTTGTGTCGAAACTTGTTACCGTAGAGCGCGCGGGATTAACGACGGACCCTGCCTCTCGCTCCCCGCCACACCTGACAGTTATATTGCATCTTGTGATTAAAAAGTATTTCGCTGTTTTATTCTTAGTGAAAATTGATAATTATATGATTAAAATGAGCGGTAGGAGATTTACTATTTGGACTTATTTTGGAGAAACTGACGACCAAAGTAAAGTGAAATGTACTAATGTAATGTAATGTATCTTTGTTTGAGTCCAAAAATATTTTATCAAGTTTCTATTTGCCATAATCGGAAATAAATCTACAGTGCCTCAAAAATATAAATGCATGTACATTTAAGGCACTCTAGAGACATTTAACCTATAAAAAATACTTTCATCAGTAAAATACATCGCATTACTCAATTCGTACATTTCAATATATTGGACACTATGAAAACGAATGTTCGGTGATTTAGCCGAATATTCGACCGAATACGAATATTCGGTAAAGGTGTCGAATATGCCGAATACCGAATATAAAACGAATTTTCGGCCCATCTCTAATTAT